TCTTCAACATTTTTTCTTTCTGTTCCCCAGACTTGATAATTTCCATTGTTCAATCTTCAAGTTTACTGGTTCTTTTTTCTCCCTGCTCAGATCTTCTTCTGTATCCCTCCAGTGAATTTTTAATATTAGTTATTGTACTTTTCAGCTTCAGCTCCAGAATTTCTTTTTGGTTTCTTTCTAGGTTTTCTATCTATTTATTGACATTTCCATTTTGTTCATACATCATTTTCTTGATTTTCTCCACATCTTCCTTTAGTTCTTCAAGAATCTTTAAGACAGGCATATTGAAGTCTTTATCTAGTTGATCTGCTGTCAGGTTGTTTTTCAGAGACAGTTTCTGTTGAATTATTTCTTTCCTTTGAATGTGCCATGCTTTCCTGTTTTTTTCATATGCTTTATTTTTTTTGAAAACTGGAAATTTGAATCTAATAATGTGGTATATCTGGAAAGCAGGTTCTTTCCCTTCCCCAGGGTTTGCTGTTTTTGTTTATTCTTCTCTCCTCCCCCCTCCCCTTACCTCCCCTCCCCTCCTCTTCCTGATCATTGAAGGCTGTGTCAGTGCCAAGGATCTGCCTGAGGTATAAGCTTAAAGTTTTCTCTGGTCTTTTCTGAGCCGACACCTTTCCCTGGGCATGTACAGTCACTTTCTGATTTTCCCTGCATATGCAGTTGCTTTTGAATAGCTCAGTCTTTGATGTCTGCTCCTAAAGGGGTAAAAGGGAAAAATCAAGACCAAAATTAATGGCAATTTACCATCCAAGCCTTGCCCTACGGTAGACTCCAGAGTTCCAAAACAGCCACATCCAACAGATTGTGCCAGCGCAATTGTTGTGTAGGTGAGGAGACAGATTATTGGTGCTTCCTACTTCACCATCTTCCTAGAATCCTCCAAAGGGCCTTTGGATGGAAGCCACCTTGAACTTGAGAGCTATATAGTGTGGAGCTCATGCACTGCCGAAGACATTATGCCCAATGCTTGTGCAAGGACGGAGAATAGCAGGGCTTCCTGCAGCCTGTCAGAACTATGCATTGAACTAAATGGTAGTGTTAGAAGTGTTCTCTTTGGGGAAGGGCACTAAATTTCCAAACACATGACAGAGAATTGCTTTATTTTTTTTAAAACCCTAGTAATTTTCTTAAGAAGCAATTGAAGCTAAGTCAGTTTTACCAATTTGGCTTTTGACCAAAGATGGTATTAGTTTACCTTAAAACTTAACTCAGAAAGACTTTTGTCTGTTTTTAAATATCAAAATTTCCCTCAAAGCTTGAGGACTTAGCACCTGGAAAGATGCTAAAGATGAAAGATGCCAAAGCGGATCGATGGCTGTTCCAAAAGGGAAGTTTAGAAACGGACGTGTGCTGCTGCAGCATCAAAGGGGTGTGTGGGGAGTCTTTCAGCGGCCTGCTCTGAAGGGATCAAAACTCAGATACACGCATTCAAGCAGCAGCCAGGCTAGCTTGCAGTCATACATCCCATACAGATTCAGCAGGGAATTGAAACAAGCATTTCATTTAAACTTGCAGTTAAAACTAGGTTGAATTAACTAATTAATGCTTGAATTTAAGAAGAAGATAGATGAGTACCTAAATATTTCACTTTGACCTGTATTTTTCTCCTTAAGACCATTTAGATCTTTTCATTATTACTTTAGTGAAGATTTAAAATTTTTTTTTTAATTTCAGCGTATTATGGGGGTACAAATATTTAGGTTACATGTGTTGCCTTCCTCCCCCCTGCCCCCCTTGGAGTCAGAGCTTCAAGTGTGTCCATCCCCCAGATGGTGCGCATCGCACCAATATGTATGTATATACCCATCCCCTTCTCCCCCCTCCTATCTGCCCGGCGGACTGATAAATGTTATTCCTATATGTCCACTTAGGTGTTGATCAGTTAATACCAATTTGCTGGTGAGTACATTTATTTCAGCGTATTACGGGGGTACAGATATCTAGGTTACATATATTGCCTCTGCCCCACCTGAGTCAGAGCTTCAAGCATGTCCAATACCACTGAATGAAAAAAGTGTTCTACTTTCTAGCCCTGTGATTTATGCTTTGTTAGAGCTCTTTCCACTACACCCAGCAAAGTATAAACTGTACTTCTCACAGGTAATGCTAACTTTTTAGTTGAAATTCAACCCAAACCCTTATTGTTGAGCACTTTCTGAAGCTCAGAGGACCACGACTTTTATTTCGCGCTTTGCCACTTCCAGTGGTGCGTAATTGTGTACCCTTCATGAGGTGTCAGCATGTGCAAAATTGGATAATGTACTAATTATTTCTTGGCATTAGTAGGATTAATTGTGTATTAAATTTCTGTGTACATTTAGCCATTACATGAATATTATTGTTCTTGTTATTTTTTATTGTCACCAGCTCCTGTGTCATTTATCTATACTAGTAACAACTCCCTGCATATGTATCCAAAATATCCAAGAAAAGTACCTATTCTAGCTTTGCAAGCTGTACAATGATCCACACGTGACACCAGGGCCTTCCAGATTTCTCACAGAAGACGTGATGAGAGTGATCCAGATGCTGAAAGCAAATCAAAAGCCGTCCGAGTGGACACCTGGCTATACATGGTTGGCAGTCTGTCTGCGTTCCCGTCCATCTTCTCCGAGAGCACACAGGGTGTGTGGCCCTAGTTCTTTCTAACTCATTAGGATGCCAGTGTCTGGGCGAAACATCTAGTTGGGGGAATATTCAACCTGCAAGCTAAATCACTGCAGATTTTCCTCCCTTCAATACCCATTTTCTAGTTCAATAATTCAGCAGGGAGAATATCGATGATGAGCATATTACGGGGAGTACCTGGCAATCTGTCATCAGATTGAGGCTGGCAGAAGCTGGATCCCGCCGCTTGGCCCTTAGCTCCTGATTTGGCCTGTTCCCCGTCCAGCTTCGCAAGTGAGCACCGTTAGTGCCAGCACTGGACCACGACAGTGACCAGGGTGTTGTTTTAAATAAAAAAGGCAGGCAAGATTTCTAAACTGTAAGCTCCCCCCACCTGGCCATCTGTCTTCCTTTCCTCCCAGCCCTGACTCTTCTCATTCGGTGCCTCATACTGTCTCACCTGGATGCAAGTCGGCTCTCGACAGGTCCCGCGCACGCTCAACCCACCGCGAGCAGCTGCATCACTAGTGAACAGCGCTCTCTCCGGCCCTGACACCATCTCAGAGTGGTGCTGGTCTATTCCTAACTCACCACAGGGGCTGGCTTCCCAGGTCGATTTCCAGGATTTTACAAAACCTCTGAATCATGGAGTTTTTCCTCCATGCCCACATTGCTGGCGGTCACTCGTGAAGTAATTGGAAAGTTTCGATATTAGTGGTGATTTAAGATTCAAGCGTTAGATCACCAGCAATGAATGAACGAATGAACGAATGAAAGAATAAATAAATAAATACGTATGCATGGCTCAAAGCAGGACCTGATCATGGTGAGCACTGCACTTGTGTTCGTAGTCTAACAGTGTTTGCACCCTCAGTCATCACTAGTACTGGAACCCTCCTATCGCAGCAGAAGTGCCCAGGCACCACACTCTCCCCCGTCAAGAGCCCTTCAGACCAGATGCGGTTGGAATACAACTTTTTTCTCCTGATTACCTTTTTATGGTGCCTATACCACACATAACGTTACATCCTTGGCGGCATCCCGTAATTAAACATGGTGCTATTTCCTCAGAGCAGTTCATGAATATTTATGATAAGTGGGGAAAAACCTAGACTATAAATTGCCTCATTTCAGTTCTGGTCGAAGTGCTGCCAGACAGTTGTGGAAAAAAAAAATTTTCTCAGAGCGCCTTGGCTTTGGGAATAATTGTGAAGATGGGATTACGCACCTGTGTTGGTCAAGGGTCCCCAGGGAAGCACAGCATGTGCACGCACAGCAGGAGGCCGGGCATTCCCATGACCCGCCATCTGGGGGCTGGAGACCCAGAAGGCCAGGGTGGGATTCAGTCTGAGTTCCGAGGCCTGAGGACCAGGAGTGCTGATGACTGAGGGCAGGAGAAGACGGGTGTCCCTGGTCCAAAAGGGAGAGTGAAATCACCCTTCCTCAGCAGAGTGGACAGTGCCCACTCCCACTGAGGAGGGAGGATGTTCTTTTGTCTGTCTGCAGATTCCAATGCTCATCTGTTCTGGAAACACCCTCACAGACACACCCAGAAATGGTGTTTTACCAGCCGTCTGGGCATCCCTTAACCCGCTGATGCTGACATGTAAAATTAGCCATTGCAGGGCCTACGTTATTATCCTAGCCTGTAGGTGAGGAGCCGGAAGCAACCAGAGGTACCGCTGCTGGCTGCGTTGCCCAGGGCGGGGCAGCAGGGAGTGTTGGAGCAGGACTTTGCTGCAGGCAGAGCGGCCCCAGACTTTGCTCTCCTGCAGTGTGCAGCGGCTGTGTGGCAAGGCTTGGTTGATGTGGGGCTCTGCTGGGGCTGGGCCTTTTCCTTGTTTTCTCTGCATTGAAGGTGCACTTGATAAAGTGTTGAGATTGTTTATGGGCTGGCTGTGTGCAGAAGGAGAGCAGACTTCCGGGGGCTTTGAATTTGACTCCCTCGCTTGGGACAGAGGCAGTTCCCCCGGGCCCTTCCCGGTGATTCGTTCCCCTCTTCTCTAAATGTCTTCTTCCCATTTCTTCCTGCCACATGGCTATGCCTTGGCTGCCACATGAAACAGGTTCTGCTGGGATCCTGCTTAGGTCCCCTGTCCCACCCTAGAGCCCTAGGGAGGGTCCTGCTACCTGGCAAAGATTCCAGGTTACACATGGAGCAGGGTGGGCTGGAAGTGTTGGAGACTTAGTGTCCTCAGACTGACTCCTGACCTGTGAGTCGGGTGGGATGGGAGGTAGTGGACAGATGTCTCAGTGGCCTTGCCCCTCAACAGGACAGTTCTGAGGGGTGTTGGGCCCTCACTTTCTCACAGCAGTGATGCACTTATCGATGCACCCTTCATTGCCTTCCCCCTTCCCTGTCTTCCTCCCATTCTCCTTAGCAGGTGCTGCATCCTAGGACTGTGGGTGATCACCTGCCATGTGGCTGGAGCTGCCCATTAGGAACCAGGCACCGTCGGACCCCCCAAGTCCTGAGGTTGCGCGGGCGCCGCCACGGTAAGGCAGCTTTCTTCTTTCCAAGCAGGAGGGGACACACCTCTTTATTTTCCCTCACCACCTGCAGTAAAGCAACCTCCGTGCCTGGTGATGGGTCCCCGTGGGACGGTTCTGATGAACTTCAAAGGCCGGCCTCACTGATGATGTTTCCCCATCTCACCTGCGGAAGGACATGCAGCTGTAGTGGCTAACAGCTGTCCTTGGTGGGAACCATACTGTTTTCTCCTTTCTTTCATCAGTATATTTTACACATATGGCAGAATAGTGTTTTGCAATATTAGTTTATGCCTCGCTCCTTTTTCAATCCTACTGTTTCCCCATCCATCCCCCATGAGCAGGTTGCAGGCCGAATATTTCTCTTCAAGAAAGCGAGAGTTCAAGATTAGAGTATCAATATTATCCCACACCCATCCTCTTTGCCCAGAGCTTTGGAGAATTCAGGGGAAATTAGGAGGATCTTGAAGAAATGAAAGGGGTGAGAGGAAGGCAGGGGGAAGGGAATGCTCAGTGCTGAGAGCAGAGCTGACCTCTGGCTCCTGTTTCCCAGAATTTCTGCTAGAGCAGCAGCCAAGAACCGAGACAGGACTGGTCGAAGGTGCGTCAGGAAGGTGGGGCTGAGACCACACTCCTGGAGATGCCCAGGACCCACTGACGGCAGGGAGGCAGGACCACGGGGCCCTGTGGACACCTCAGGAGCAGTCTGTGAGGACCGGAGGCTGAGGACTGACCACTCTTCCACAACTGTCCTGGGACTTTGGAGATGGTAAAACTCTCAACACACCAGAAAGTCTGTTGGAATGGGGCCTCCATAATTAACGAAGCAGGTGTACCAGAGGGATGTTTTTGTTGTTTGCTGTTTTGTTCACTTGAGTGCTTGGACTGAGATTCATAGCTGCTGTGGGAGGCAGCCACGTCTAGCATCAGCAAACACACTTGGGAAGTGCCTGTAACATGAATGGAGTACAGCCCTTTAAATCTAAGCCAATTCTTTTTTAAAATAATACCAGCAATACTTCCAGAGTGGAAGAGAGAGAGTTGAGTGGATAGAGATGAGTTTTCTTCTTAAAATGCCTATGGATTTAGGTAATGTCAGTAACTACTGATGACCCTAAGTTGGGGGAGCACTTTGCATGTGCCCAGGTGCCGGAGAGATGCAGGGCGATGCACAAAGGAGAAGGAAGGTGAGGGGCAGGTGCAGCCTTGTCAGAGTCAGCTGATGATATTAAATTCCCTATAGACTTTATGAGAGGCTGACAGTGATGTTCAAGACCCTTAAATTAGATTCTTCCAAGGGAGCAAGAAGTCTAATTAAGAGTTCCTTGGAGAACCTCTTCTAAGGGAGCGAAGGTGATTCCAGTAGGTCCAGCTCAGTCGCTGTTGGCCAGGACAGGCAAGGACCTTCATAGCAGTTTCATGTTAGGGCGGATACACAGTAGGCTTTTGGGAAGACAAACATGAGTAATTTTTGTAGGCTCTGAGACAGGCAAAAGGATGCTGGAGCCCCTATAGACAGGCCTGCACCTCAATTTAATGGAGACGCAGGTGCAGGAAGTAGTGCAATAGAGAATAGCATCCTCCATAGCAAGCCTGGGGGAGCTCTGTTGAGACTTGGTTCAAGACCATTTTAAAAGTAGCCACTAAAAGCTCAGATGTTAAGACTCTTGGCTTTTCTTTGAGGAAATATGACTATTTCATGATGGATTCACCCAAAAAGAAAGCACACTCCTAGTAATTTAGAGGCCACGGTGTACTGGAGGCTTGGAGGGTGCGTATATGGTGGGGTGGGTGCAGGTGTCACAGGAGACAAAGGAACGACAGAGGACGGGGTCCATTTGGTCTCACAAGAATCAGCATCCCTTTCCCACTGGGGTCCCAAGAACAGAGGGGCCTTTCCAGCTTCCTGGCAGGAAGGCACAAAGACATAGCATGGAAGAGAAACAGCAGGAAGCTGCTGGAAGTACGGGGAGCCTGTGGACATGGTGATTGAACATAAAGACCACTGACAGGCCATCTTTCCCCCACGCTGTGGTACCATAAGACCTCCAGACACTGGCACAGTCCCAGGGAGGAGAGGATGAAGGGGTCTCTCCATGAAGAATTAAATAAAGATTTTCTACTGGCTCAGAAGAAAGGAGGCTCAGGGTAAAGCACGTGTGGATGAAGTTTCAAAACTTCTACATCCTCCTCCTGGTCACTGTGCTCTGGGACGGCCATGGTTTCCAGCCATGAACGTCTACTCCCGAGAGAGCCATGGCTGCTCCTGAATCCCCTCCTCTTTCTCTTCTCCACCATCTCTGGGAGATGACTGTCCCTTCTAGTAATCGAGGATGGTCCACTTAAGGACAGGTTTCTTTTCTCCCTCCTTGTCCTCTTGGCTGAGTAGAGTGGATTAGAGCATGGGCCCAGAAGTTAGGTGGTTGAGCTTGTGCCTCCGTTTCCTTCTCTCTAATCTGGGAATGTTGATTGTACCTGCCTGATGGGACAGTGGTGAGAAATCTTGCCAGCAGTGTACTCACCAGGTCCCTCTTCATCAAGCCAGTGCAATGACCCTCTAACCCAGCAACAGGTAGTTGGTCATGATTTAAATAGGCATTTTCTTTTCTTCTCCCCCATCCACCTTAGAGGTAGACTTCTGTATTAGTCTGCTCAGACAGCCATCACAAAATGCCACAGACTGGATGGCTTAACAGCAGAATTTAATTTTCTCACACTTTTAGAGGCTGGCAGTCCAAGATTAGGGTGTCGGCATGGCCAGGTTCTGGTGCGGACTCTCTTCCCAGCTTGCAGAGTGCTGCTTTCTCACCGTGTCCAAACAGGGCAGAGGAAGAGAGAAAACAAGCTCTTGGATCTCTCTCCTACAACGGCGCTAATCCCATCATGGGGCTCCACCCCCTCAACCTCACCTAACCATAATCACGTCCCAGAGGCCCCATCTCCAAATGCCATCCCACTAGGGGTCGGGGTGGCATAGGTATTGCAGGGGGAGGGACACAATTCAGTCCATAGGTACTTCCCTTTGTCATCGATGTTCAGCAGGAGAAAGGCTGGGGAGGGATAACTAACTGCTCTATATCCTGTCTTGTGGTCTGGTCTTCTCTTCCCTCTTTCTCCTCCCTTCTCGGTGAGCAGGCTCTCTCTCTGGTCAGCGATTGCTTCCCCGTACCGTGTAGGGCTATTCCATCATTTTACCTCCATTGAGTTTTACCAGTTCTTTCCCCATTTTGTTACTCCTCTTGAGACTACCTTCTTCTTTGACCTTGGTTAGCTGGCCCCATGGGGATGGAACCGTTTCTCTTTCCCCATTTCCTTTTCTTCTTGCTCGGAGCGGTGGACACTCCAGCCTGGGGATGCGTGGCTCTCTCTTGGGTGGATGCCACTGTTTCTCCCCTTCCTTCAATGGATTTCCCCTTCCCGTTCATCCCTCTGAGAGAGGACCTCCTTGCCTGGGGCAGGATGGCTTTCTGAGGACCACTTGCGAGTTTTCCCTTTGTCGATAAACATACCATGCCTGGCCCGTGACGAGACCTTGTGGTCTGCAATAGCGTGTTTAGCACTGTTCTGACTCCCCTTGGTGAACGACACCACTTCTTTCTTTTCATTATCCCTGCTGTGACCCCACTTTATGTCTGGCAACAGACTGCCACCTCTAGGTAGGACTGCCATTAGCTCTTCCCGTGGCGTGGAACTCATATGGGTCTTCAGTCATCACCCCCGCAAGCCAACCCTCACGTCTACGAAGAATGACCTTCATTGATCTAAGGAGAAACTCCCCTGTGCTTTCTGTATCGGGGAGTAGCCCTCTAATCTGCGGTGAGTCTTTGGTCCTTCCCTCCCACAGCAGACATCAACCCTTCTCTTTCTTGTCAAGCCTCAGAACAACTTCTTGACTCCAGAAATGGGCTGTGTGTTACTTTCTTTTGAGTTTAGGATTCACCTTACTTTTTTCTGTGCGAGCACCCAATATTATCATTTTACGTAACCATTGATGAAATTTGGTTTATATTTACCATTTTTATTAATATTAGTCATGCCTGTTTTATACTCCTCTTTTCTATCATCTTCTTTTGAATTACTTAATTTAAAAAATTGTTGAATATTCTCTCTTTTTAGAATTTAACTCTTCTTTTCCTGATTGGTAAAGAGAGTACAAAAGGAATTCCTTTTTAAGTTAAAAAAATTTATTTTTATTGAAGAATAATATTTACACATATTTTGGGATAAATGTGATATTCTGTACATGTATAGAACGTGTAATGATCAAGTTAGAGTAGACAATGCATTCCCTGTTGAAATACCAGTCACAGTTTTCACAGAGGTAGAAAAAAAATCCCCAAATTTGTGTGTGTGTGTGTGTGTGTATATATATAAAGATGTCGAACAGCCAAAGCAATCCTGAGCATAAAGAACAAAGCCAGAGGCATCATACTACTTGACTTTGAAATATACTATTTGCCATAGTAACTAAAACAGCATGATATGGGTATAAAAACAGACACTTAGAGACCAATGGAGCAGACTAGAGAAATCAGAAAAAGCATGCTGTGCTTATCAGAGTCTACCTTAAATTGGCAGTTTTACCAGAATTTTTTTTTTTTTTTTTTTTTTGAGACAAGAGTCTTGCTTTGTTGCCCTGGCTAGAGTGAGTGCTGTGGTGTCAGCGTAGCTCACAGCAACCTCAAACTCCTGGGCTCAAGCAATCCTGCTGCCTCAGCCTCCTGAGTAGCTGGGACTACAGGCATGCACCACTATGCCCGGCTAATTTTTTATATATATATTAGTTGGCCAATTAATTTCTTTCTATTTATAGTAGAGACGGGGGTCTTGCTCTTGCTCAGGCTGTTTTTGAACTCCTGACCTTGAGCAATCTGCCCGCCTCAGCCTCCCAGAGTGCTAGGATTACAGGCGTGAGCCACCGCTCCTGGCCTTTACCAGACTTTTGATAATACTAGAACCATGAAATACTTTAATTTTAACTTCTTTTACCCGTTTTCCACCTTTTGTGTTTTTGATGTTATGCATTTTAATTGACATATATTTTAAACTCAAACAAAAATTTTAATTATCATTTTGAATATCAGTTAACATTGCTTTGAATTTACCTTAAACGTATCCTGTCTTTTGCTTTTTCCTCCTTGCTTCATTCCTCTCTGTTTCTCTCTGTGTTTATTTTCCTTCTGCTTGAAGAACTTTCTTTAGACTCAGTTTTTAGTTGAGGTCTGCTAGTCAAAGTTCTTATTTTTGTCTTTATTTACCTTTACCTTTGTTTCACAGAGAATAGATTTCTAGAGTGGCAGTTATTTTCTTTCAACTCTTTTAAATGTTTCTGAATTGTCTTCCTGCTTTCATTGTTTCTTTTGAGAAATCAGCCATCAGTCTTATTAGTACGCTTCTGTTGATATGTCTTTTTTTCCTTTGGCTGTTTGTAAGATTTTCTTTTTGCTTTCAGTTTTCAGTGGTTTTTACTAGGATTTATCTTTGCATGGTTTTCTTAGTATTTATCCTGCTTGTGGTTCATAGCAAGTCTTAAATCTGTGGCTTGAGATCTTTTATCAGATTTGGAAATTTTTCAGTCATTATCCTTCAGCTATTCTAATGTCTAATTTCTCTCCTCTCTTTTTAGGGCATCTAATCGCATGAATGTTAAACTTTTTTAAACCATATAATATATGCTTGATACTTTTTTCTGTATTTTTAATACTTTTTCCCTCCAAACTTTTGCCTAAGTATTTTATACTGAGCTATCTTCTAATTCCCTGTTCTTTT